CGCCGGCAGGGCCCCTTCTGCCAGCCCCCATTGGCCACTCTCCTCTGGGGCTCGTCCTCCATGACCTTCGGCTCCCTCCTCCCCGCCCTCTGCAAACCCCAGGTCAGACACCCCTCCTCTGGGCCTCTCACTGGACGCAGGCTCCAATCGACCTATGGGCCAACGACATACTTGGAGCCTCGGGCCCTGGTCCGGACTCTCACTCTGGCACGGAACATTTCACACGTCCACAACAGGACTTTAGTCCTTCCCTGTCGCGGGTGATGGCCGATCCATCCCTCTGATTCTCAGACCCCCTGGGCACCATTTCTGCCTCCTTTCTCACAGCCGTGCGGTCCCTCCCCGCGTGCCACCAGCCCTGACCTGCATCACATCCGGCACGTGACTGCGCTCCACCATCGTGCCGGCGCCCCGTCCGAGCCCCTGTCACCTGTGACCTGGGTTAGTGTGGCCGCCTCCTCCCCCCTCGCCACCCTGCCGCGCTCTCCCTACGGAGCAGCGACAATGGTCCTCTCGTAACAGAAAGCGGGGCCCTGTCCTCCTCTACTCAAACCCCCGGTCACAGCCCCTACTGCTCAGAGGCGAAGCCGAGGCCCTCAGAACGGCCCGGGGTCTCACATGACCGGGGCCCCGCGTGTCTTCTCTGCTGTCATCAGTCCACTTGCGGCAGGCCGTCTCTTTCAGGTTAATTCCACACACGAGGCTTGGCCTCATCCCGGATTCTCACTCGTCCCTCTGCCTGGAATAGCCTACCCTGAAACAGGGACATCACGGGCTCCCCGACCTCCTTCAACTCAGCTCTGTGACGAAGCTACCCGCGTGACCCCAGCTAAAGCCGCAGCCCACCCCGGGCCCTGGCTCCGCTCCACCTCTGTCCTCTGCCACGCCACGTAATGTTCCTGCCGTTAGGTTTACTGCTTACTTCGTGTCCCTGTCCGCCGGAAAGCAAGATCACAGCCGCACAAAGCCTCCTCGGCTTCTCTCAGCGATAGATCTCAGATGTCAGAGACGGAGTGTGCGGAACAGATGCGTGAAGGCAGGCTCCGCGTCACCGGCTCAAAAGTAGCTTCCTAGCCTCAGGACACGTGTCCGCGACAGTAACACTCGAGGCGAGGCACTTCAAAATAACGCCTGAGGGACGCGGAGCGGGGCGCTCGCCACGCAGACGTTCCCACCGGGGAAATGATGAAAAACACCAACTCCGGCGTTCCCACAGCTACCTCTGCCGCCCCGGAAATTCAGAGGCCGCCCAGGGCTTTCCGCTAAGTCATAAAGTAAGAGGTACAGACGTTTCAGCAAATGAGTCTGGCCCGCCAAGCTGGCACGTGCCCGAGCGGGCAGGGAACGGACCCGAAGAAGCTGGCTGGTCCTCGCATACCCGCCGGCGAGAACGACTCGGCCGCGGCACCCCGCGACGTCACCAGGGTGGGGGAGACACATACCTTGCACGGGCGTCACCACCGCCCCCTTGAAGTGGGGGTTTATGTGGATGTTCTTGGGCTGCTGCGGGGTCACCGGAGGAGGGGTGATCATCAGGCGCGGGGCCTCCATCTGGGGCGGCACATGCGCCCCCTGGGGAGACGGGGCGTGCTGCGGGTGCTGCAGGGGCAGCAGGGGCTGCAGCGGCTGCTGCTGGAACAGGCTCCTGATGGGCTGCTGCTGGGGCGGCGGCGGCGGCGGCGGTGGCGGCTGAGGCTGCGCAGGGGGGATCAATCTTGGAGAGTGCGTCTGAAAACCACCACAAAGAAGACAAATGCACAGCAATCAACGTTTGGAAGAGAAGTAGAAAAAGGCTACTGCCCTACAGATCTGCGCGGACCCCAGCGTGAGAGTCACGGCTCACAGCGCTTCCCGGCTAACGGCGTGTAGGAAGCAGCAGGGCCGCGCCATGACGCCCGGGCTCAGGGAGGGGGCCGCTCGCGACGGGAATCCGTCCCGGGCACGCGGAGGGCGGCGGCGGCGGCCTCAAAGGGACTCTCGTGGATTCCAAAAGAACAACTTTCGGTGCAGCCACTGACGCTGCCCGGAGGCGAGCACCGCGCGGCACACAGAGCCCAAGCCGCCCTCGGACCCCGCGGCCATGCGGCCGCTGTCCCCGGAGAGTGAAGAAGAAAGTCGGGCGTGAGACACCAAGCTAGAAACGAGGGCTGTCCTCGGGGAGGACACAGGCCTAGCGAGAGCCTGACCCCCCTGCGGGGCGGGAGAGAGCTGAGAAGGTGGCACCTGCACCAGAAAGGAAGGAGGGAAAGAGGGGCGCCAGGCAGGGGCCTCGAGGAACAACCCGGAAGAAGCAGCGGCGCGGACACGCCTGCTGGGAAACTCGGGAGACCAGGGCGGCCGCAGCCACGCACACCCAAGACGGGGGAAGGCTGGGGTGTGAAAACAGACGCTCGAGGCAATCAAGCATCTCGGGGTGATTCCATCCGACAGTCACGAGAGGAGGAAACCAGTGACCACGGCCGTGGCCACCAAGCGCCGGGCCGACCCCGTGTCCTCGGCGCCTACCAAAAGGTCGGTACATGAAGTAAGCGGCCGATGCCCGACGTCGCCATCAAGTGGGTCCCCGTCACTGTGCTCTTCCAAAGCAGCTGGTGAGCAGCAGAGCCGGAAGTGGGGTCCATCAAGCGGAGTCCACGCGTCCTGCCTGTGAGCACCAGGCCACCATGCCGCACACCATGGAGGCCGTGAACTCCAGCTCCACACGCATGGCGGCACACGCCACGTGCAGGATGGGGAATTACAGATGGGGACGTGGTGGACGTGGGACGGACGTGGGATGGAGCAGACGGACCACTCAGCAGGCCACGGCCGGAGCTGAGTGCAAGAAAAGGCCAGGGTCTGACGAGCAGTAGGGAAGACACATTTCAGAGGAACGACGAGGATTCGGAAACCAGAGCGTATATGGCCTTGGTCTCAGGGAGGACTCTTCCAGAGACATTCCAGTGCTAGCCTGGGTCCTCAGCTCTCCGCGCTCCCGGCATCCAGAAGTGCTCCCTCTCGGGCCTCACGCCGCCAGGTGCTGGGCACACCCCTGCACTGTGAGTAGGGATCCAAGCCACCAGGGAATCCCCACGAGGAGCACGCTGACAGAGGCTCATGAGTCAGATCTGAGCTGAACGGAGGACGGGCACCGTGCAGGCTCCTTCTTCACTCAAGAGCGTGAAGGGGTGCGAAGGAAATGGCGTGCTCTCATCGAGTGGAGCGGGGGGGCCTGGGAGGCACCCACGTGGAGGGGCACGGGGCAGAGCCAGGAAGCGCACGGAGGGGCTCAGAGCGCGCCAGAGGCGAGGGCTTGGGAGACGCAGGTGCGCACAGCGAGGGCAGGTGGCAGGAAGGACGCCGCCGCCCAGCAAGAGCTCTGACCAGAAGGAGGGCGGACGAGAGGACAGCTGAAGGGGGGAGGAGAGAGAGCACAGCGCAAGCCTCAGGCGCTCCTCCCTGAGGAGGAGCTCGCCGCGGACACCCAAGGCGCCAGGGCACAGCAGCCAGGAGGCGCAGGGGAGCAGTGACTCTGAGAGCACAGTCAGGAAGTGAGGAGAGCGGAGTCCAGGCGGCAAGGGACCGACCTAGGAGGAGACGGACTGACACAAAGCCACGAGCAAGCCTTTGCCTCATTCCTCCCACAAGAGTCCAGACAGACCGCGCTGGGGTGCGAGAGTGAGCGGGGTCAAAAGCGCTCGTGGTCGCAGGTGGGAGCGAGCTCAAGTTCATCCCCGACAGCCCTGGTCTTCCCAGTACACGGAAACTTCACATCACTGTGACCAGGAGACGCGAGCACAGAGCTTCCAGCCCAGAGCACCATTAGGCCGAGCAGGGCCAGCCATAGGCCCGTCCCCAGCTCCCAGTGGGCTCCAGAGCTCTCCGTGGTCACCAGAGCTCTGGGGACACGACACCCCTGGCAAGGGCCCCGGTCTGTCCTCCACTCGGCTAGGGATGCGCAAGCGCTCCCAGCCCCGCTCGGTCGGCCCCTCTGAAGGACGAAGGATGCTGGCTGGGCACGCCTCCTGTCCGTGGGTGCGAAGTTACCTCTCCGGGATCACAGAGACATAGCTACACAAAAACAAATCTCCCGTGTGGCTGTTCCCCTCTCCCCCAAGGAGGCCAAAATCACTGAATTGGCTGTTGAATACATGGCAAGTGGAGGCTGGGGCAAGGATAAGGGATGGGGAAGAAAAAGAAATCAAGTCCAGCCTTTTTGCCATTGGAGAAGCTTAAGAACAAAACAGTTGTGTGAGCAAACAGCAGTTATTAACATCGTCAGCTTCTTTATGCTGTAATCAACCCACCTACCTCTCTCCCCTTCCTGCAGCTCAAAACGGAAATTCTCATGCAAAAACAGTTAAGTTACCTCTTCTCCCTTGTTACATTTCACAAATGGATGCATGCTAACACTTAACAGTTCTACACAGAGGCAAAATGTGGCTTTCCCCTAAATTCAGATAAAAATGGAGGAGGGACATGTGGCAGACACAGTGGACACATACTTGTATTAAGCAAATTTGTCCTTGGAGATTGGCTTCTGAAGGAAAGAGCCATAAAATCCTAAAGCGAACTAAAAGAACATAAAAAATCACTTTAATCCTTCTTTACCTCTGCGATATCTCCTCTTTGAAACGCACAGGAAATTCAACTTCAGCTGAAATTACAAGTATGTGAGTATGGATAGCACAGGACACTTACTCTAAGAGAATCTGCTCCGATTTAAGGAGAAACCGATGGGAAACAGTAGCCATTTTTATAAAATGAACAGTGCTACCTGGATTCTCCGTGTACAGTCACTGTTTTGAGCGCGGGCACTCAGGACAAGCAGGGAGAGGACGGAAGCCTGGCTCCTCTGGGGCTCCTGTCCCTTGAGGACATAAGCCTCTCACTGCTTCTTCCTCCGTAAGTACAGAGTGATTTCTCACTGCCCGACTCCCAGGAGGGGACGGAATTTATAAGGACACAGGTGAGAGCATACCATAAAGAAACTTTCGCCATCATTCCTCGCATTAAACTTTAAGTTCAGACTCGGTGATACACACAAAGTACGAAACCCACAAAGGCACATTTTCATTTGTTCTAACGTGTTGGGCTATCACAATAAAACCAAGAATTACCACGCCAGGAGGCTGCGTCGGAAGCAGGGCAGGTCTGTGATCTTTTATTCTTGCTCGCTCACTGCTCTCTCTCCTCTGGTCTCCCATTCCACGACACACTAAAGAGCTTCCTCTCCTTCCTCCCCGCCTCGAGCCATAGCGTCCCTGCTTATGCTGTCGCTCTCTCTCTTCGAACTCAAGCAACGCGGCTTTGGCTTCGGCTGAAAGCTCTATTTGAAAAGATGCATACGTGTTAGAAATCTTCAAACGGCCTAAACTCGATACACAGGGAGAAAACAGGGAAGACACACGGGACAAGGAAACCCCGAGACAGCAAGGGTCTCACCCACAGCAGGGAACTAAACCAGCAGCGAGCGGGGTTCAGCGCCCTGGAGACACCCGTTAAATGAGGACATGCTTTTCCCGGGGAGGAAGACACAAGGAGCCTCCGCCAAGTTCAAGTCTTTTCGTTGGAGACCACAAAACGGTGCAGAGGGAAGCTAAAAAGAAGGGCCTGAAGTTCGGTTTAACCATTGCCCTCAAACTGCCGCGGACACTTTCTCTTTCACGGACAGCAGACAACGCTGGGGAGGACCTGGGCCCACCAGGCCCGCCCCAATACAATTTCTCAGTGAGACCCGCCCAGGTATTATGAATGCACCGTGGCACACAGGCTCAAGATAGATAAAAAATCAATCAATCAAATAAATTCCTGTTTGTTCTGATTTAAGCGGAACTATTAACGGCATCACTCGGAAATCAAATAATTAATCTCATACAGTGGAAAACTCATTTCATATGATCATTTCAGATTTATTTAAAGAGACCTTTACTCTGTGAAAAAAGGCTTACACCCACACTGTCTGATACGGAAGCTAGAGCAAATGAGAGCAGAGCCACAGAAGAAAAAAACCCATGAATGCAAACACCTGTGGGATGCCCAGGAGACCCTCACCTCTCTGACCACTGCTTTAAGGATATAAAAACATGGACGCTGGCCCTAAGAAACTTCAGCTGGCACCTTATTGTAAATCCCTAAAGGAGAAAAGCCGACTTACTCAAATACAGTTCCTTTATTTTAGAATACTATGCAAACTGTGATATCTCACGTTAACAAATGTGTACCTTGTAAAGGTTTCACTGAATCCCGAGGGGCGTTCTTACTTACACCTTCTTCCAGAGTGAAGGACAAATTTTAAACATTACCAGCTTTAGCTCCTATCTCAGGTTCCATAATCATCTCCAAACTCTTCCAAAATCTCTTAAGCCACATTTCATTTTCTTGATATTGTTTCTATGGTATCCCCCCCCCTTTCAAATAAATCTAGACCCCATTCAAAAGAAAATTTAATCTCTTCTTAACAAGCACAGACTTTTATTCTCATCTTGACTACATGACTGGTTCACATACACATTTTATGCGGTGAATCAGCAATTATTTTTCTAGTGGTTCTAAGTGTCAAGATTGATTTCACTATCCCCAGTAATAAAATGGTTTCAAATGACATCTTTAATCAGCAAGTAAAAATGCTTTCCTCCAATTGAGACAAGCTGTCACAAAAGGTCACCAAAATATGACAGGATGGAAATTACATTTGTAACTTCAACTGAAATGTTAATTTCCTCTTAAGTGTTTTCTGAACTATGTCCATATTCTAAAGTAAAGAGATAGAGTTCAATGTAACAAAGTTTTACACTGTATTGCCCTAAGATGTGCTTAGGGAAAACATCTGCGTACAAATAATTTTATAACAGCTGGATTAATACATAACGAGTCAGTATTTGCAAAATACACAGCTTATTTGGCGAAACGGAAATAAATGATAGTCTGAATTTTTTTTTGCAAGAGAACTTGAACGAAGCAATTTGTAAAACCCTTGCTTGTAACACAAGGGCCATCAAGTACCCTCCTGCTGGCACTATCAATCTTGGACTGTTTGTTATTAGATGAAAATACTCTTTCCCACAGATCCTCTGCCTTAGGCAAAATTAACTACGGACTTTATTTCAAGAGAACATTATGTGGACATAAGAATGTTCTTTAGGCTAAAGCAATAAAATGTAATTTAACACATTACGTGTGCCAGCGAAACTTAGACTATTGCCAAATCTAGATGCCTACTCCTAGATTAATGGACAAAAGCAGGCCTAAAATAAATGTTGTCTTGCACGCACTGATGTCCTGCTTCCCAGGAGAATCTCAGGCCCACCTTGGTCAGGCCAAAGGCCTGACTGCTCTCAACCTCTATGCTGAGGCTTTAGGAAACCAGTCACTGACACCCACTGTCCAGAGGTGGCTTCTGACATTTCCATCCAAAATTTGTCAGTCCTTTACATATGTATGTTCTAGAAACCCTGCTCAGCTGGGTTTCCCAAGTGAGTGAGGCCCTCATACCCTACAGCATCCTCTGTAACGAGTGACATCTATCTGCTAAGCACACAGCTTTGTGCCACCCTCGGGGAAACTAAGAAAAGGTTTAGTTTCCAGAATGCTGGCTGAGCTCCTTACTTAAGGTCGTAACCTACACGAAAGCCCAAACTCTACCTGAATTCCAAATCCACATCAATGACTATACACAAGGTTCTATAGCTGCCAGACTGTCATACATATGAATCCAAGTTCTTCCTCATTTAGGGACGGTGCTACCTGTGTGAACACGGGAAAGACTAAGGGAGACCCACACCTTGTTAGGTTCTAGCGGGCACTGGCTGTCCACATGCAGCCCAAAGGGTCAGAAACAGGGGGGCCAGAGGACGATCTCATTCTTCTTTTTAAAGAGTGGAGTGTTCTCAACATTAATCAATTATATCACAAAATAATTTTTATTTGTATTAAAAAGGTTAAAGGACACCATTTGTCAAGAAATACATATTATAGGAAACAACATCTGGACTCTGGTAGCAAGATATTTTAATTCCATTACAAGGAGTGGGTGGACAGCATTATACAGTCAAATACATGTAAGGATTTCTGTACAGAACCTGAACCTGACGTCTCTCTCGCCAGGAGCACGCAGATAAACTGATGGGTAAAACACAAATACTGTAGCAGCTTCTCTTTCTCAATCAGTATTTTCTTATGCACAAAATTAACCTTTCGTTGGAGGAGGGGGATCAAGGTAATGAGAGCTCACTGTTTTAGAAAACCAATCTTTACATGGACAGAAAAGTCCCTTTGGTTCGGGGAATAAGCCTGAGTTAGTAAAAGCTCGTGTTTCAAACACTAAGCTTCCTTATGCAGGGCTCACAAGTATGGAGCATTTAAGCACCATTTTCACCTACCTTAGTACCTGGCCGAATTTGCACAAACATACTTAAGCCTTATTTGTTAACGTTTAAAAGAAACGGTTAAATGTCTACACTGTTTATGCTGACGGCCCCTCTGCCTCCAAGGACTCCAGACTCTCTCGCCGCCGTATTTCAGGTCTCCGGCTTGCCTACCACTAACCCCTTCAGGCTCCATCTCTCAGGAGGTACAAATGACCCTGAAAACAGCAAAACGAGGCAAAGGTCCTGAGACACAGGAATTAAAGCGACACAGAGAGTGAGCACGAGCAGGCCGGACACCTCCAGATGTGAGGTCAGTGCCCGGGGCAGGTACAATGCAGAGAGATGGCCCTGGCTGAGGCCGGGAGGTGGCCAGAGACATCAGGTTCAGGCAAGGATGCAACATTACCGATTCCTCCTGCTGAAGGATACACTGTGTTCTTCCCCCACCCTTCTGTTTTAAGACTTCCGCTCATCTCCTTTCACCCAAGGCCAACTTCAGACCTTCCTTCTTAGAAAATTTATGTTGTCCTGCTTCAGACAAACTGGCAACTTTATAGCCTAACTGGAGAAAAAGGCAGGGAACTCCTGGGCCAAAAGGTAGAGGAACTCAGAGGGGAAAGAAGCAGAGAACCCAAGAGTCTAGGGCAAGCTCTCCATAGAGCTCACTGAGTGAGGGAACATGGCAAGAGTGGCTCCCTCACAACTGTTAACCTGCACGCCTCAGGAGCTCAGTGTCCTCGTGCACAACTCACGTCTGCCGCTCATGGACACACGCTTGTGTTTCCAACTAAAAAATGGCTGATAATGGTTTAAGAAGAAATAAACGTAGTCACTGGGGGTTAGTTTCCCGATTTTCATTTTGACCAACACCAGGAAGCAGATGAACCCTGTCCTTCCACCCTCCCACCTGCCTCCTGGAATTCGGTACAAAATCCCAGTGGTTCTCGAAACCCGGGTTCCAGAACAGCAGGCGCAGCAGCACCTGGGAACTCAGCAGAAATGCAACTTTCTTGGACACCCCCTGAAACCTACCGCATCGCAAGAGCTGGGAGTAGGTCTAGGAATCTGTGTTTTAACAAGCCTTCTAGGTGATTCTGCTGCTCACTCAAATCTGAGAACCACTGCTTTATCTCTGCAATGGACACTGGAGAAAACAGTTGCGGGACAGGGTAGGGTCAGTGCTGATGAAGGCTCTCCGCTGGCCTGCAACGGCCTGCCGCAGACCTTCAAAAGCAGCGTTTGTTCAAAATGATTTGTTCAACTGACTACGTCTGAACGATCTTATCTCCTCAAACACGGAGAGGAGTGGCAGACGGAAAAAGAAAACACAAAAACAGATGGTTATAATGACACTAACAGGTACAAGATACAAACTGTCTAGTCCTGAATTAGCCCTAGCAACCTCGTGGTCTCAAGAGGGGTCAAAGGGCCGTCCCCACACACCTTCCCAGACCCGGCCAGGAACTGCGTAACATGCACAAGAGTGGGTCTAGGCCATCGACTCCAAAAGAAAAGCTATTAAAAAAATAAGCAATCAAATATTTTATTCAAACATTTTTAATCCAGAAAACAGTCATTTTTGTAGAATGACTTTTACAGCACCATAACTCAGCTCTAACCTCACACAGACCGTCCACTCTCTGGACAGCCATGCATAATAATCTATAAAGTCAAAAAAAATTTTTTTAACCTATTTAACTAATCATAATAGTACTATGGAGGAAGTTGAAATGGGAGTGAAGAAGGATGGGAGACAGGCAAAAAAAGTTACCCAAAGTTTCTGGAATGTTCCTTCTCTCTCTAGTTACATCTGAGAGCCTAATAATTGTTCCTTCTTTCCTTTCAGTTTTGAACCGCAATCGTCCAGATTCTTCATCATCATCATCTTCCTCATCGGATTCTTCTTTTACGTCCTTCTGTAGCTCCAAAGTCTCCATACCTCCCTACAATGCAGACACACAAACAAAAACGGAGACTGAGTTCACATTCTTTTGAATTAAACACTGAAGCCTGATTTTATATATATAAGGTTCTTTATATTTCAGATGTAAAGATGCTGCAAAATGTTCTGTCACAAGGCCATGTGAAACCCTAAACCGATACGAGAAACAAATGATCTCAAACATTAAAAAACACGTTGGAAAGAGTTCAATTCTTGCTTGTAATTAACAGACAAACCCTATATATACTGTTACTTCTACTTCTGAGAGAAAACTCGCGAATTTCAAAAGTCCCTGCTGGCCTCAAGTCTGACCCAGACGCCAGCAAAAGTCCATGTATTCCTTAAACCAACACTGGAGCTTTAAGACTTTTGGGCACATGTCCCCCTGTGGAACTTACATTCCAGGAGAACCCACTCCTTTCCGGTCACACAGGCTCGATGCTTCCGGTAACTCCTGACCCCATCTGCCATGATTTCCAAACCTGTTGCTACGTTGCTTAGTTTTTCCAGCCTCCACCTGCTTCCCCCCTGCGCTCTCACCCTAGTGCTTCACTCCACCATCCAGGGTCTGCATCGCCGCCTCTGGCCCAAATTTTACTGCAACAACACAACTTTTTTTTTTTTTTCCAGTCACAATGAAACCAGCTTTTATCTCCTATTTTATTATGTCAGTATTCCCACAAAAATACCGCCTAATCTGGTCCCAACTGAAAGTCATTTCTTCATCAACAATTCTTCCTTTATCACAAATGTTCCTTTTATGCCACTGATCACTTTTGACCTTTTCCTTGGTCTCAGTGACCTACTGGGAGAGAATAAGACAGGTACTTATTGAGTGCCAGGTTCACACAAATTCTTTTTGTAAACACAAGAAAACAGAATTTGCCCCTCGATTCTCATGATTCGTTATTTTAAACGTGCTTTACTCTTAACAGAAACAAAAATGAACTGCCTCATTAGAAAATGCGCAAGAAAAAATTTAACATAAACCCAAAAGACAACTGTTTTATATTCTCTTCCCAACATTTTCCATGAAAAAAGGTCAACTACAAACGCACGTACTCACTGCTGTGAATACTGCAAGTCTCTACACACCTTCAGGAGTTCAAATGCCTGAAGATACAATGACGAATGTATGACTATATATTTTAAGCCTGATGACAGTGACGCTACCTTTCAGTACTCTGACATTTAGTATAGCACGGAATCTTAAAGCACCAAAGTCTTGGTATTTTGTCGGTTTGATATTTGATATTATTCCCGTCTTCCTGAATATCTGAAACCAATGAGTAACACTTGCGAAGGGCCCAGCTGGGCCTGGGCGGCACTCCGCTCCACTCAAGGGTAAGCTCACGGACAAAGTGCTCTTCTCCTCGTCCGTCCGTATGCTCCAGAGCAGTGCTTCTCAAATGTCATGTCCACACCCATCACCGGGAACCCAGTTCTGATGCAGATCATGACTCCACAGGGGGGCCTGAGACTCTGAATTTCTAACATGCTCCACGTGAAGCCAACACGCTTCACAGACCATGCTTTTTGAGTAGCCAGGCCACAGAGGAGGGAAAGGAATGGCCACCAATAAAGCAAAGATTCCATTTATTACAAGAGTCATTCCTAATTCAACCATTAACAGTAATTTCAGTTTAAAGACCTTCCAACCAGTTCAATGCACAGCATGACAATACGAAGCTAATAAAGGGTATTCTGCATCAAATCTCCACCTAAGAAATCTCAAGAGAACAAGGATGACTAGAAAAGTCTTTCTTTGAAGCAAATCCTAAAACCCACCAACAAATCGAGTCTATGACCCAGCAGTTTGCATTCCCAGGTATTTATCCAAGAGAAATGATCATTTATGTGCATGTAAAAACCTGTAGGCAAATATTTACAGCTCTCTTTTGGGTCAGCAAAACTGGATCAACAGTAAGTGAATGGACACATAAAGCGGGTCCATTCAATGCTCCTGAGCCCTAGCAAGGAATGAGCTACTGATAGACACCTGGGGTGAGGTGGCAAAGGCGTGCGGGATGAGAGAGGCCAATCGCGATATACTGCGACAAGTCCGCTCACAGGACGTGCTCCAAGAGAAAACATTATACTGGTTGCCAGTGGTTAGAAACGGAGGGAAGGCAGGACTACAGAAGCACAGCATTAAGTTGGTTTTCTGAGCAATGGAATTTCTAGAACGCAAACTTGTGGTACAGGTGTCCAATTAAGCCGGTAACTACATCAAGGACTACACAAGCCCTGAAGTGGCTTCGCCTGCCTCAACTACAGTGCATTTGACAACCTTCACTAAACTGGACTCGTGCCTTCAGGCACTGGTTACTGCCTCTTACTCTAAATACTGGGCTCAAAAAAAAGAAAAGGAAAAAGCATCTCTTTTAGCCATATGATTTACAGAATTAAATAACCAATCTGCCAAAATGCTGACTTTCTGGACAGTCTTTGACAAGGACTATCTAGTATTCCATTCATAGGCAGGGTGGTGTTGGGTGACAAACAATAATCAAGTTATCTTAAAATTTTATTGTACAAGAAGTTAAATAATTGTGTATCTGTGATCTGATTAGGCTCTGCCAAAAGTACTCAGAGGTTTAATTTTAGCTACTTAATTATGATGAAAAGCTGAAAGCCATAATTGTGACTCTTAGCAGAGGGCACACATTAAAACCACTGTGAAAGCTCTTCAGAGACAGACAAGTCAGAATCTGATCACATTCCACTGTCCCTTGAACCACACAGGTGGGAAATGCACAGGTCCACATATATGTGGATTTATTGGATGAATACAGTACTATAAACAGATCTTCCTTATGGCCCAATGCGAGGCTTGAACTCACAACCTTGAGATGAAGACCTGAGCTGAAATCAAGAGTCAGGCGTTTAACCGGATGAGCGACCCACGTGCCCCTCCTTAAGATGTTCTTAATAACATCTCTTTCCTCCAGCTTGCTTTATTATCTATTATAGCATATAATACACATAACATATAAAATAGGTGCTAATCAACTATTTCTGTTACCAGTAAGGCGCTTGGTAGCTAAGTTCTAGGGGATCCAAAAGTAAAAGTTATATGCAGATTTTTGACTGAGTGGGGACGAGCACCCCTAACCCCAGCATTGTTCAAGGGTCAACTGTATACATAAACAATTAGAAAGTCGAATTCTGGCAAGACCCAGACCTGCATATTTTTTAAGCTCTCCAGCTAATTCTGAAATGAACCTGTGATCTCTCAGTGTCTTGAAAGAAAATTCAGTATTCGATCCCAAACCCAAGGGGAAAAAAACAGGCAGTTCTCTGAAACGGGGGTTGGGGGCTTGGGAATTGGGAGGGTGGAGAAAAGTATACAGAACACTGTTTTTAAAAAACTTCCCAGAAGTTTTTAATGCTTACAGAATATTTGATAGAGAATTCTTTGTTATATCATGAAATACACATACAAATCAAATACAAATTCTAATTCTACCAACAGTGAAAATTTACAAGTTGGAAAGATGGAGCAAATTGTGCAAAAATTAAGAAAATTACAGACCAATATCCTTCATAAATAGACATAAAATTCCTTAAAACAATAAAAGCACATGGAATCCAGCAAAATATAAAAAGGAAAATACATCAGAACCAAGTGAGGTTTAGCAAGAGCCAGAAGCACAAGGCTGATTTAACATTCAAAACACTCAATTAACACATCTTGGAGATGAATTCCAAATTCCCCGCAGATAGCCCCCCTGCCCCAAGCCCTCCTCCGGAGGTGGAACTTCAGGCCTTCCCCACACCTTGACAGGCGACCACGCACCCTTAGGGACTTGCCTCCAAAGAACAGAGCAGGGCAAAGGAAAGACAGCACTTTACAGACCTACCACCTACCATGGCAAACCTGACCCGACCACATGATCAAGGCTAACACTGCCAGGGAGGTCCTGTACCCAGTGGTGTGACGGTGGAGAAGGGCATCGGACCTCTGTGATATTCTCTCCAAAATCCCTGAACTGCAGTCTAATCATGAGGAAAATACCAGACAGGCCCAGACTGCACACAGTCTACAGGATACCTGGCCAGGTCACCTCTTTAGACTGTCACAAACACAAGTCGAAAGTTGTGAAACACAAGGAAAGACTGACAAACTAACACAGACCGGAGGAGACACAACAGTGTGGTCCCCTGGACCGGATCCCGGAACGGAAAGAAGTCATTAATAATTAAAAATTTGTGTAATGGAAATAAAGTCTGGAGCATTGTTAATATAGTTTTTTAAAAAAGTCAATTTAATTCACATTAATAAACGAAAGGATAAAAGCCACAGGAGTATCTCGACAGATGCAGAAAAGCACTGACAAAATCCAACACCCACGTCTCACGTTTAAAAGAGTCTCAGCAAACTAGATACAGAAAAGAGCTTCTTCAATCTGATGAAAACAAAGCAAGCCAAACAAAGCTTCAGTGAGCTTGTATTACGTACTTCGTGGGACATCAAACACTTCCCCTGCCATCAAGAACCAGGCAACAATGAGTGGCTCCAGTATTTCCACTCTACATAGCACTAGAGGCCAGTGAGGTCAAAGACATAATAGGGCAGGTCGGAAATGAAGAATTAAAGTGTGTCAATTAATAGCAACATGATTATTAAGGTATCAGTTTTCCCCCAATTCCATGGAAAGATACAATGCATTCTCTACCAAAGTCCCAATCAGATTTTTAATAGGTCTTGGCAAATCAGTTACAGAATTTACACGGAAATCCAAAAGATCTAGAATAGCCGAAACAGTCTTGAAAAGGAAGACAAAACTGGTGGATTTACACTACCTGATCTCATGCTACAGTAATCAAGACAGTGGAACACCAGCAAGGGAATAAGAAAGGCTCCAGAAAGAGACACAAACTTAAATGGTCGATTAATTCCCAATACAAGCACTAAGGCAATGCAGTGGGGACAAATAATGGTGCAACAATCAGGGGCACATACAGAAAAAAGTGAGCCTCACTCACACACACACACAC